GCAATTTTTTTTCAAACTGTTCTTAAGGCCGCTTTCTGAAAAAAAAATTTTTTTGCTTTGTTTGATTATTGATGTCAATAATAATTCTTTTTAGTTTTAATGATCTACAAGAACTGATACATTTATGGGAAGAGAACTGGTGTTGCGGAATTTTTATCTTTGAGAAAACATACGTGTTCTTTGTTTTGGTTCTGATGACAATCGAGTTTTTTTTGCAATTAAACTGCCCTGAAAATAATGATTGTCAATCAAATTCACATACTAGCAGGATTTTTTTTGGCTGCAGTCATTAAGGAACGAACGATGCGAGGCGATGTCTCTTTTTGGATAAATAATTCTTCAAAGGAGGACTAGAAAAGTGCTTGAAAGCAAAAGCTGATGTTTTGCAAATTTTGGCATTTTTCAAAATGTCATTTGCATTTGCAAATATGTGGATTTTCAAGAAAACGTTTTTAAATTTTTTTTTTGGAAGTTAATTTTACAACTATTTTTTGAAGGTTGTGAGCAAATCAATCAACCACATCAAAATAAGAGTTTCATATAGTCTCAATTTCGAGAACTCATTGAAACTCATGGTATTCTCTGAAAATACCATTTTTTTGGAATTAAAGACTCATTTTTGGTAAGTTTGCCTCAATTCTCTTGGCAGACAACCAAACAAATTTACGAATTAGCGAATTTAGCTAGTCATCGTAATTATCCATGAGATTCTTTTTTAAAACCGATCTTATGTCATGCTGATATGTCAATCTGAGGTATGGCTGGCTTCCACAATTTCTCAAAGACTCAGGCATTGGTGACCTACTTTGGCTTTTTGATCCATCTTTTTTTTGAAACAGGCATGTGGAAAAGAGAAAAAAATCATCGGTAAGGGCTAGATAAAGCGTACCTCTCTTGGATAATCACTTGAGTAGGGCTGTATGAGAGGGGAAGGGAAACCGCCGGTCACCCGGTTAGGCACAGCTCATCTGGAGTTGCTGAGCACCGCCCAATTGGCGTGGGGACTGTCGGACCATTTAATTAGTCTGCGTCTCGACATATGTCAAGTCCAGGAGGTGCACTCTCCTGACCTGAAACCTTCACCCTGATTGTCTTACTTTATATGAACATAACATTTATGACTAGAATCTTTATTGTATATTTATAAATAGAAAGAAAGGGGAAGGGAAACCGCCGGTCACCCGGTTAGGCACAGCTCATCTGGAGTTGCTGGGCACCGCTCAGTTGGCGTAAGGACTGTCGGACCATCTAATTAGTCTGCGTCTCGACATGTCCATTCCATAGTAAAGCTCGTCCCGAGCTTTCGTCTTTGACCATGGCTTGGGAGTAGGAAACCATTGTCGTCATCGAACTGCTTATTGCCATTTGTTTCATCATTGCTCCGTTTGAGGGCAAGAGGGCGTTGTTGATACAATTATCGTCATCAAAACTGCCCATGTACCACTTGTTTCGTCATGCTCTTCAAAACCATGTGGGCAGGGGGAAAAGGGCTCATAGGAAAGAACGCGGCTTTCGCACGCCCTGTCAAAAGAAGAGCTCGTCTCGAGCTGAAGATTAAGCGGAGCAAAATAAGCTTGCAAATTAGATAATTATCAAAGGATAAGGCTTCCGCAATTGTTCCAAAAGGTGGATCAGAGCGATAATGATGATATCAATGCAGCGTAGATGGGTGGGGTCTATCCGAGCTGAGGGAACGAGCATTGCAATGATGGTAAGGATAACGATATGGTAGGATGGTATAGCTTAAAAGACGAATTGGGATATGTTTGAAAGTTTTGGTCTGTGGTGACGGGGTTGGCGTGAATATGGAAGAAATAAATATACATGAAAAAAAAATGGAAACAACATTTTTAAATGAAAATTAAAATCGCTAATATGACGGAATGTTCAAAATTTTGAGTTTTGAAGATTCGCCGTTGTGCGAAAGCCGCTCCTTCCTATGAGCCTATTCCCCTTGTCCGCTTATGAAGAGCAATCCAGCAACTAACCATGAAGCGATCAGCAACCCAACCCTGCCCTCAAGCAAAGCAGCGGCAACAGATGGCAAATGGGCAACCTTGGTGACGATAACGTAGAAGACGATGATGGCAATCACAGCACATACTCTCATGGCCTCTACGACGAAGCAAATGGTACAAATGGGCAAATGACAAAGCAAATGGGCAGGATGATGACGATAACGAGTTCCTAATCTCAAGCCATGGTCAAAGATGAAAGCTCGGGACGAGCTTTACTATGGAATGGACATGTCGAGACGCAGACTAATTAAATGGTCCGACAGTCCCCACGCCAATTGGGCGGTGCCCAGCAACTCCAGATGAGCTGTGCCTAACCGGGTGACCGGCGGTTTCCCTTCCCCTCTCATTCTATTTATAAATATATAATAAAGATTCTAGTCATAATGTTATGTTCATATAAAGTAAGACAATCAGGGTGAAGGATTCAAGTCAGGAGAGTGCACCTCTTGAACTTGACAAAGGACAACAAGACATGCAAACACACAATATCATTTGGTAATTTAGTTCAAATTACAGGTTTTATAACAACGCTTCTTTACGGATTGTAATCTTCAACGAAGTTTTGTTTCTCATTACTGTGCAAAGGCGTTGTGAAAATCAATAATGAAGTTTTGTTTCTCATTACTGAAGAAAGACATTGTGAAAATCAGCTAACAAGGAATGCGTGTTTAGTCGAAGTGGCCTTTTAGATGGGACGTACACCATATAAAAAGTGCATAAACAGAGCGTTTATAGACGAGGAGCTATGAGCGCTTATTGGGTTGAAAAATTGAATGTGCAAGTAGGACAAAAATAGCCGTAATATGTTCTGTAGCTTTTTAATGGAGCCGTGATAATCGTCAGAGCACCTTTTTAAGAAATACACTCAAATGAAAAATTATAGCAAACTTGGTTGCATTATTTGAGGGTTGATAAGATTTTAAGTACTCATTTTTTCCAAAATGCACGTTCAATTTTTGGCTTTAAAGGCCGTGTTTCACAAAAGTTGAGGTCGCGCGGATCTTCACACATTCTATCAAAGGGACCTCTAAATAGGCCATTGCATTAAGTCCCACTCAATTTGACCCTGTCCACGCTGAGAAAAATTAGCTCAAAGTGGTACGCGGAGGGCGAGTTGGTACGCGCAGACGACTCCTTCGGTCCCCCCCCCCTTCCGCGTTTGAACATGTCCCTCCACATGGCATCCACCTCCCCTCTGTTGCCGCCATTGAGGTTGGGGCTGAAGTTGGAAGGCACAACTCGTCCACATTGCTCCCGCGTGGTCTCCAGAAAAAGGGGTTTTTGAGGACTTCGTGCGAATTTAAGCCCATACGGAGTTAGACAGAGTCCGACAGGCTTGCAAAATGCAAGAATCTCGGCAACTAAGTTTGGTGAGACACTGCCTTTAAAAACGCTCATAACTTTCCATGCATAAACGCTTTGCAGATAGGGAGGGCAGATTTGTAGTCAGCGTTTTATGTGCTATAATATTAGGTTGGCACGAAAGTTCTTGCATAATTCAAACAAATTTCAATAACTTTTCATAGACTAAACCTAAATTCACAATCTTGTATGGTAAAAATATTAGAAGTCTCACGCTCCATGATGGAAGTTCAAGCACAACATTCCATGAGCTAGCCATCGAGAATGAACCTCTTAAATATGGGTCTTCAAATTTTGCGATTTTGAGTTTGGTGGCAGAAAATCGCAGAGGGCCGCTAGCTAGCCGAAAAAAATTTGTAGAATTTACTTACACAACAAAAGTCCATATGTTATTTTGGAAGGCTTTGATCTTGCACGGTGAAGCAAAAACAAAAAACTTGCTAATCATGTCATTTTGCGGAAAAAATCCCCTCATGTCCGCAGTATTCCGGCGAGGGGGGGGGGCAGACGTTATGGAGCAAAGCTACGCCGCGTTTCCCTGAGGTATGTCCTGAGGGCCATTTGCGTTGCGTCGCTTATAATTGCGCAGGAGTAGCGCTGCTCCTGCCAGCGGATTGAGCCATTCCCTAATACCACGACCTGATATGTTAAATCTGTATAGATGCAAGAAGGAAAACAAAGAAGACTGCAATTTAGAAAATTAAAAAATAAATGAATTCTAGGGATGAGTCAAAAATTGAATCTGAGATGATCCAATGCTTGGTTTGAGTTAAAATGTTCAGGAGAAGTGGAACACAAAAATTAGTAGAGAAAAAAGATATTCCGTCATGAGTTTCCAAGAGAAATTAGCTTACTCATCTTTTACTTCCTCTTGGCTTGCTTCTTTTCCTCCTTCTATATTTGATTCGCCCTTGAAATGCGTTTATCATTCACATTTTGATCTCTTTATCTATGGAGAGTGAGGAAAATAGCTCAATACGCTCGGTAGCGCTAGCTCATCTGCGACTGCAATTAAGAGCGACGCAACGCAAAGGGCCCTCAGGATACACCACAGGCTAATGCGGCGTAGCTTTGCTCCATAACGCGGCGCCGCCTTCCGGCGAAAACACTTTTTTACAATCGAGAAAACGTCACAGGCTCGAAATAGGCACTATGTCTAATTTCTGGTTGCAAACTGTGTTTTTGCGGAAAAATTAGAGCGATAAGGGGATTTTGCCCGTGAAATGAGAAATTTCGCGAATTTTTTGTTTTTGCTTCACCGTGCAAGATCAAAGCCTTCCAAAGTAACATATGGAGTTTTGTTGTGTAAGTAAATTCTACAGATTTTTTTCGGCTAGCTAGCGGCCCTCTGCGATTTTCTGCCACCAAACTCAAAATCGCAAAATTTGAAGCCCCATATTTGAGAGCTTCGTTTTCGATGGCTAGCTCAAGGAATGTTGTGCTTAAACTTCCATCATGGAGCGTGAGACTTCTTATATTTTACAGATTTGGAATCACCGTGCAATACTCTCCAAAGCAGTTGGGTCTCATCTGAAAAGGCCACTTCGACTAAACACGCTTTCCTTGTGAGTTCAGCATTTCAAAGCTTTACTTTAAAGAATTTCCTGCAGGCCAAAATGACTATTCCTCTGGCTCCTTTTTGTCGAATACGCAGCCGAATCTGTATTGAAATCCGTAATGATCTTCTCTGTAGTCTAAGACGTATGTTGCACAGGCATAGTAAGCATTGGCTCCCCGGTCCATCTCGGCTGACTGCAACGTGCTTATTAGTTTCGTTAAAAAAGACACAATTCAATTCAAAGAAATTGATTAATGCAGGGCGTAACACGAGGCAAGCATGCTGGATAGCGTTCTTTACGAGAAGGGCTGGAAGAGACTGGATGTTGTAAGTACTCGTCAACACTTTCTCCAGAATTACAAACAATTTAAGACACAGCCATACTGTCTATGGGAACGAAGACAGCCAGTTTGGGCCGCCTCCGCGGACTAATGGCCCTGAAACGACATGCAACAACGTTGCAAAAGGAGCAGTTGGCCGCGAAGGGCGGGTCAAACTGGCGGCCTTCGTCTCCTACAGGCCGTCACCTACGGGCTCTAGCACAATACTGTACAACACGAGCACTTGATAACAAATGGCATGTTTACAAGTGTCGACTGATATTACATTGTTCTGTGGAGTCATATCAGCAATCGTGCCTTGCTTTCTCCCTTATAGCAACGTAAAGCAGAACTTCCAACTTCACTATTTTACAATATTAGATAGGTTTTTGATGTGGTTCTCTGTCACTCCTAAAGCCGAAAAAGCACTGCAGACAGCTAAATACGGTGAGTGTCTTATGATGGCACTTTTTGAACCCTTTCGCTACCTCTAGTTTGTCCTATACTATTCAGTAAAGCAAAGCAAAAGCATCCGCACAAGTTTATGCATGCTCAAAAATTCAAACTTTCAAATCGAAAAATTAGAATTCATATGAGACCTTCATAAATTGCTAGATAATGTTGTTTGCAAATTGGAACAAAAATTGCTTTTCACAAGCCAAAAGTAAAATTATGAGTTTTACCTTCGTAGGCGCTACTTTGAGATATTGAAAATTATCGAAAAACCGAAAAAAACGTCATTTTCGTAATTTGCCTTGTATTTGATTCAGTTTTTAGCCATAAAAAGTGCAGCATTGTGTAGTCACTCTGGAGGTTCGTTAAATGTGCATGAACAAATACGCTTCTTTGTAAGTATAGATTCTAATTCAACTTTACTGGATGAAGTTTTGTATAAATTTTGGCCGCTATCTTATATCCCTTGCTTTGCCTTTCTGGATAGCAATGTTTTTTGAAAAAGAATCAAAGACTACATGATAAAAAACCGAGATGATGGGATAGCTTGATAAAATCGTAAAAAAATCAAAAAAAAATAAATAAAAAAAACCCCACTTCCGCTTGCTGCTGAGAAGAAAGTGTTATTGCTAATTGCAACTCACCTCGCAAAGACGATTTTCCCAATATGCATACGCCCATTTCCATCTCCAAGTACTAGGTTTGAGTCTTCCCATCAAATAAGATGAATTTTTCGAGTATTTATCGTATTCTTCTTTCTCGAGGCTAAAATTCATATATGCGTTGATGTTGGGAACGCTTCAAAAGCTACTTCAACTTCCTACATTACTTGGTGTACTTTCCAATCCTGAACATGGAAGTGATACTCCTTATTTGCCCAAATTTTCTTTAGAAAACAATCCATCTTAAGACTGTAGGTCTAAACAGAAGAATCCCTTGCATGTGGTATAAGCTTCCAAAAACAATCAAAATTTAGTAAGCGGGTTCAATTGGCCGATTTTCCTAACTGAATCAGCATAGAGGTCATCAAACTCGCGCAATCGGTTCTTTTTTTGTTGATTTGAAGCTGTGATCGTTCTCACCAGTTTCTCATTTGTTTTCGGGCAGACCTCCTTGAGTGCAGCTTTGGTCTGGATTTTCCATGCACGATCTACCCAGGCTTCTTGGTCATAGCATTTAACATGATCGTAAGATGCGAGAGTAAGAGCCGGAATCTGAACAGCAATCATTGGCTATCATATATTGAAGAATGCAACTTACAATAAGCAAGCAGTAGAACAACATTTCAAAGTTGCTCTCATATTTCTCAGGCGCTTTTATACAGGAAAACTTCCACAAAATTGTCACATGTAACAAAGAATGTACTAATACTCGTTGCTATTCGAATGGGATCGTAATTAATAGAGTGCGTGATCCATAAACGCGAGGATGATAGCACGACTTTTAGTACGCTAGTACCGATGGCATGTGGTCCACTGTAGAGCACTTCACTACTATTGCATGGCACCCCATACTAAGCAGTCAGTGTTCTTTTTCCAGTTTTCTGTAATTTTCTCGAGATTTCCACAGTCTTTTTTCGAGGCAGAAATCTTTATTACTGCTAAAACGAGCTGAAAAAAGCAGGATCATTCTACATTAACAACCGTCTTAATAATTTTCGAAATGTAACAATTTAGGAATCTTCAAATAGTAGATTTATGATCTAGCATTCTTTCATGAGCAGGAATTTAGTGACAAACCACTCAAAATTAGCACTTTTTCAAAATGCAAAATCATTGCATTGAAAAACAGGTGGAAGAGAATCTAAGTATGTTTAAATCATGATAAACCAATAACTTGAAAATACCACATGGCCAAAAATCCTGATGAGACAGATTGTGTCTGGCATTCCATAATGTTATTGTTGCTGTACTTTTCTCAAAGTCGCAGCTTTGCAATATTTTCTACAGTTGAAATAATTTCATGAATACAGAGCCAATACACTGAGGTGTAAAAATTTCCTATCATACATGCAAAAATCATTCTTCAAAGTTATAGCTTAGCCTTACTTAATTCCGTGTTCTAAAGATTATTTAAATTATTTTATTTTACATATGTTACTTTGTTTCTTCAAGCTTGCCAAGCTGTAACTCTAAGTTCGTTCAAAAGGACAAAAAACCCGACCCAAGAAGACGTATCCAAATTTCAAAAGATTAGAAACTTTGATGAAACTCGAACTTCTTAGAACGCAGGTAATTCTAAAATGAGAATGAAAGAAAGCATTGACGCAAGAGCTCGACTGTTGTGTGAGCGTAGCATTCTATTAGGTTGTAAGGAAAATTCCAGGCAGTTTCGGAAATTTTATTTTCAAATTCATTTTTTTGCCTTCGGCCGAATTTCTACTGTGCCTTTTAAACTGTTTAGAAGACTTAAGCTTTCTGAAGGTTTTTCACCGGTGTCTAATCGTATATTTAATCTGTAGTCCACAGAAGGATACCTTTGCAAGACAAAAATTCCAATGATTCTCTTCTTGTGCCAATTTTCCAGCTAAACAAGCAAATTCGCCTAATTCTCAAATGATCTGAATGAGGAGACTGTCTAATACACATCCGCAGCTGCGCTCGAAATTTGCTGCAAGCGCACAAGAATTACAAGCTGTCAAACGTGCGACTCTTTTCGCGCCGATCCTGTGTGGATCACTGCGCCTGGATGTTGGGCCCAGAAGATGAGGACCCAAACAATATTTGCAGTAGTAAAAAATTTGGTTCAAGTTAAAAAATGGGGCATTTCTGGGGTGTAAAAAAATTGTCAACTTTTCAAATTTTCGCAAAAAAATTTCTGCAGCTGGAGCCCTACAGCCCTGATTTGCCCCACCATCAGCACGGTGGATTTCCATATACCTGCCGAATATGATCTCCAGTCCTTCCTATGCTTAAGAAAACCCTGCACAAACAGGACGATTTTCAAGTTGACCTTTTTCACTTCTGCGCATGCTATGGCGCGTAATGTAGTGCTGAAGACCTAATAAAATGTAGTGTCTTGTAGACAAGTTTTTCCTTGCAACGAAAATTCCAGCTCTCAAAAATATCGATCCGCATGAAGTTACAGCCGTGTGAAAAAGCAATTTCAAGTGCACAAAAACCTTCTTCACAATTGAGTCGGGAGGGAGCACGTTGCATACGGTAACGGAAATGCTCATTGATGTCATGCGAAATCTATACAAGATATGTCTTTTTTGTACAAAAACAGACTAAAACTTGCACTTTTCCGTTCAGTATCTGTCTTTGAACTCGTACGTAAGCACGGGGTATATGTCAAGATTTTTATTGCAAGAAGGACAACTAGCGCATTTTTAGTGTTCATTAAAGTTCCTGAAGACTTTTGCGTTTTTGAGAAGATCTACATTCAACCTTCTTGAGATAGATTCAAAACATGAATGTTGAAGATCAAAAGCCCTCAAAAAGGCAACTAATCGTACTTTGGCAAATATGATCAATTTTTCACCAAAAACCGTCAAATCAAGTGGCAACTCCAGATAGTTAGTAACCCAGAGCATTTTGTTTGTTATGCTGACGTTTAGGAAGCATTTGTTAGAGATTCAACTCAGATTTACAATGCGGAGCGAATCATTGGTCGGTCTTCGTTATGTAGGTAGGTGTACAATGTGAAGCGATTCCTCAATCAGTCTTCATTACTGTAAGATTAGTGTACGAACGTTTTGAAGTGGGGTGGGTAAGCCATTGAAATTTCTCCCCAGGAGGGGAATCAAACAACTCGAAAACTTTACATTAGGCTGCTTAGGTTCACTGTCTCTGAATATGAAGTTGCACCGTGGCATAGTAGCTTGTTTATAAATCACTCCAAGTATAGCATAATAGCTGGCTTCTCAAGTTTTTCAAAACCGTGATTACATAACTTCAAAAGCTTTACGGACTTGAAGTTGAGTAGTAGACTCAGCATGCGTAAAACCTTGCTATACGAATTTCCACGATTTTTAGAAAATTAAAACGCAAGCTAATTTACAATGGGACAATGTATTGAAATTCACCGTAATCCTACAGTGAGAAAAGTGATAGGTGATTTAATTCTCTTTATAGCAGATCCCTAGTTGGAGCCAGCTCTTTAGAACTATATCAAGTGGTTAAAGAAGTCTCTGTAGAAAAAGAGGTGATAGTCAAACAGTGCATGTTAGGCGGATGTGTAAATGTTTCAAATATTAAATATACCGCAACATGATTCGGGGTAACATTCGATAGGGAAAAGTGCCTCCCCCCCCTCAACAAAATTGTACTAAGCGCCGGACATACTTCAGCCATTTTTTCGCCTCGCGAGTCTCCCAACAGAAGAGCTGTCACCTTCATTGCATGCAAGCATCTTGCATCTCGGTTGTGATAGTTAGCCTCGGTTAGTCGTGTCGAAAAACTAACACAACCGATGTGCAAGAAGTATGATTGTGATGTATAGACTTTCCAAGAGCTATTTAGTTTTGTCTTCCTCCTACGATAAATCGTACACTTCTTGATTCTAGGATTTATGCACCGTCCGATAGAGCAGAACAAGTTCAATGACCAGTAAGCCTTCGCACCAGCTTCCTTACTCCTCGAATTGCAAGCCGCATAAGAGCTGCATTTTCAGCTTCCTGCAATAGTTTTCGGAGAACCTCAGATTTAGCTTTTTTGCATTAGTTTTCTAGGATAACTATCATCATCAAAATTTCGCTAGCTAGAACTTCTCAAAAGGCTGTAATTTGTAGTTGTATTTCTGAAGACTGGTAGTATACATCTACTTATGTCAGAACAGCAGCATCGTATTGGTAAAGCATGAAAAAAATTTTTCTGGGTTCTGAGGGAAAAAATATAGCACGACATAAGTGAATGTTTGCTGTGCAGTGATTTGCGCAAGAATGGAAGATCCGATAAGAATTTTTTGGACGATATAAATTTTTCAAAATTTTCTGACATTAGAAACTTTTTGGCATGTAACTCACGGTGCATTGGAGCTGGTGCAAACGCTTACAATCCATCTCACAAATTGCTTTGCTCTATCGAATTGTTTCCCTCCATCCTAATCAGAAATAAGAAATATTTGCATTTGCAGTAAAAATTCAAAGACAGCCTAATATCCGAACGTTTACTCAAACTTTGATCCATGCGAAGTTCAGAGCCAGAATTAAGAAAGTTCCAAGTGCCTAAAAAATCAAGAGAATCGTGTCAAGTCCAACCGCTTGTTTACTCGCTTAGCATACGCGCTGCACAAGAGCCTTCCACACGAAAAGTTGCTGTATTTTTTCGTTGGAGCTAAAAGCAAGAAAATAAGAATTTTTATGCTCTACCATGCAATACTGAGCTGTTCCTACACTTAGCTGTATCTACAAGCCTTTAGAAGAACAAATTTGACTTTTCAAACACCTAAAAGGTAGTATATCGAATCTGGCAACAAGTTTAGTAAGGAGATCTGACTTCAAAGATTGCGAAAATTAGCTCCTGTGAAAAGAAATTTACGGCTGTACTTTCTTGCAGCGCACTTACTATTGTGGAAACGAAAAAATACAACAACTTTGTATTACGTTGTCCCGAAAGTTTTGTGGTATAATAAAGACCTCGATGCAAGTTCAATTTATTGATTCAGCTTTTCCTTCCTTTTTAGGAGGCTCAATAGCTACCAAACTTCTTCACCCATCCTTCGATTCGTTTGAAGTCTTGCTAAATTTCAGCCTTACTCTAGAGTCTTTGAGAAGAATAGGCATGATACTACGAAATTCCGGACTACGAGGTGCTTTTATATTCTCCTGATTTTGATCTGCTGTTTAAAGCCCTAGAAAATCATATATGGTGATCTCAACTTTTGGCGAAGTCATGAAACACACAGGCGCGGCAAAACATGAAAGTTTTCCAGTTTTCTGGAGTTTAAATACTTGATCTATGTAATCTAGAATGAGCGTGATGTAGCCAAAGGGTTGCTGTATATAAAAGCTGACTGCGCTTTCTCATCTCAGTGAGCCCTGGCGGCAAGATCGAAGGAAGCCTAGATCAGAGAGGAAATGCAGCTGTCAAAAAGAGGATAAAAAAGTGAGCTGAACGATATCCAACTCGTTTGTCTTTCTGTGAGCTTGCCTAATGAAAGAACTACATGATTTTCGGTGCGACCTAATTTATGAATGTTTCGCAGGAATGTACGTGTGTAAGCAAATGAAATTGGTAAGATTTCCCGACGGAGTTCTTTTTTTCAAGCATTTGGTTTTTTCAAGTTT